GTTTTGTTTACATAGTCTCAAGCTTGGAGAGTCTTCCCTTAGCCGTGTTCAGTCTAACAATGAGTCCATCAAAGCTTTTCTTCATTTCTGTTATATGTTTTTGATCAGTACCATATCTTTTTTATTTTTTATCTAATTTTTATCTCTTTGCTTATGTTACCCATTTGTTCTTGCTGTCTACTTTTTTCCTTACACCTTACAGCCTTTAGCGTATTCATCGTTATTTTAAATTACCAGTCTGATAATTCCAACCTTCTTGCCATATCTGAGACTAGTTCTGATGCCTGCTCTGTCTTTTCAAACTGTGTTTTCTTTGCCTTTTAATATGCCTTATAATTATTGGATGAAATCCAGATGTGATGTACTGGGTAAAGGAACTTCAGTGAATAAACCTTTAGTGAGATGGTGGTGAGGTGTATGTGTGCATGGGTGTATGTGTGCATATGTGCATGTGGCAGGGTTGGAGGAGGATTGTGATAGCATTCTGTGGTGCTGTGATTAGGTCTCTGTCATTCAGTGAGTCTGTGCCCCTGGGCTGTTCTCATTGTTCTCATTTTATGATTAATAGAATCTTCAGTTGCCTTGAAGATACCAATTCTTTTATTTGATCGTTGTAGTTTTTGGACCATTTCATAAACAGTGGTGCTATTCCTTTGTCTTTCTCAGTTGTACCATGAGATTTTGTTATGTAACTATTGATCATCATCCATTCATACTTAAGAATTAAGGATGAATTATAAATGGCTTACTTTTTCTGGAGTGGTTAGTAGAGGATTGTTTCTGCTATGGTACTCTTCTAAATGAGAAAGTCGACTTTGTGGGGATGTGTGGTGATGTGTGGGGCCTGATAAGCTTTGCCGAGGATGCAGGGCCTGAGATGTAGCTGTTAAATCAGCTGCCCTTTCCTTGTATGTTCAGCATGGAAAGGGAGGGGGAGGGAGGGGATTTCTGGCCTGGTGCAGTACGAGTAGAACTTGATCAAATTTTGTATTTCCATGTCTGCTTTTGCATTTCTGATCCCTCATTCTCGTCTACTTGAAACCTAGAGATGTTCCAGGGATGCTTCGGGTAGATTTGCTCTCCTTTCAGTCTGTATCTTACTGTCATCCATGAGCTGCTCACTTCTTTGAATGCATACAGATACGCTAGGTCAAAGTGGGCAAGCATAGTTCTCAGCATCAGGGCCGTGTCTTGCCATCTTTATCTGTGAACTAGAACAGACAGTCTTACACAGACCAGTTGGGCATATATCTTTTTCAGTTAACTTTTTCAAATTGTTAATTATAACTTTTAAAATTGTAACTTTTTAAAATTGTTAAGTACAGAAATTTGTGTTTAAAAAATGGACACCTTAATTATAAGGCCAACGAGAGAGAATTTTGCAGATAACCCAGAAAGAAGCCTTTCTCCTCCACCCAGAGGAACCTGTGTTCTGAGTTTATGGTAAAAAGTCCTTTGTTTTCTTTATATTGCTACTTAATGTGAGTTTTAATCAATGTAGTAAGTGCTGTTTTTGCTGTATTCTGCAGATTTTGATAGATTTTCATTTTTTTAAATTAGAAATAGTTGAATTTTCATTGTGATTTCGTATTTGAATCATGGATTTTTTAGAAGATTGTTGTTTAATTTCCAATACTGGGGTCTTTCCAAATATTTTATTATTTATTTCTAGTTTAACTCTGATGTGGTCAGAGAATATACTTTATATGATTTCTAGCTGTTTTAAGTGTATAAGAGTTTGCATTTTGAGTAGCATATGGTGCATCTGGGTTAATGTCCCAAGTGAACTTGGAAAATATATGTGTTTTTGGCATTATTGGATTAGTGCTCTATAAATGTCAACTAATTCAAGTTTGCTGTTTGTGGTGGTTACGTTTTCTGTGTCCTTTCTGATTTTCTATCTACTTGTTATATTAATTACTGAGAGAGAAGAATTCAAATTTCTAAGTATAATTATGGATATGTCAATTTTTCTTGTCAGATCTACCAGTTTTTGCTTTATGTATTTCAGTATTCTGTAATTAGGTTCATATACATTTAAGATTGTTATGGCTTCTTGCTTAATTGACCCTTTTATCATTTTTGAAATATCTCGAGATCCTCAATAACTTTGTCCTGAAGTTAATTTGTCTGATATTGTCTCTTCCTTTTTTATATGGTCTCTTAATCAGAGCATTTAGACTATTTACATTAAATGTGTTATCGTTGTTGGGGTTGGAAGGTATTTTTGCTGGATATGGCATTCTCAGTTCACAAATAGGTTTCCTTGATTATTTTAGCAACACCTTAAAGATTTAGTGCCCTGTCTTCTGGCTTACATTATTTCTAACAGCAAATCTGCAACCGATATTTTCTGTTTCCCTGTATTTAATGTGTCTCTTATTCTTTGGCTGTTTTAAAAATACTTTGTCGGTGGTTTTCAGAAATTTGATTAGGATGTGCTTTGGCATGGCTTTCCTTGTTTTAACCTTACTTTGGCAATATTGATCTTGTTGGCTGTGTGGTTGTATTTATCACATCTGGAAAACTTTCTGTCGTTGGTTTTTCAGATTTTTTTTCTTTCACCTCTCTGCTCTTTCCCCCTATTTGTGGAGTCCAGTTTCATTTTTCCCAATTTTTTCTTTTTTGTTTCATTTCAGGTACTTTGTATTGCAACATCTCAGGTTCACTGATCATTTTATCTGTAGGGTTTAATCTGTTATTAATCACATTTATTTTTTTTATTCAGATCATGTATTTTCTTGTTTAATTTGTTTCTTCCCTCATGTTTCTATTTTAAGTGTTTGTATTTTACATATTTGAACATATTTATTTTAGTTTTTTTCCACCTTTTTGCATGCTAATTACATTGTTTTGGTCATAACCCACTTGATTATAGGGTTACAGTCTGCTGCTGTGCTGCATATCTAGTAATTTTTGTTGAGGAGTTGGACACTTGAAATGTAAAGAGTTGGGCTTTTGTTGATGTCCTTTACCTTGTGTTCCCCAGCTCCAGTTTGACTCTCAATGTGGCAAACCGCAGCGTTCTTGGTTTCATGTTGGATCCTCCATAATTGTTTGGAATGCAATTTGGGTCGATGCAGGACTACTGTGTGGCTTTCTGCTCCCTGGTCTCATAGTCCTCTGCTGCTTGTTCTCTTGATATCTGGATCCAGATGTTTAATATCATTTGTCCTGATTTTTAATTGTTTCTGGCAGGAAGACAAGTTCTGTAACTTTTAGTACTTTAGGGTTAGGATTGTCACTTTTTTAGTTGCAGTTTTTGTTCACATAATTTTGGTTTTGTATTCTGTGGCCAATTTGGGAAGGTGAACTGTTGTCTTTTGTCATTTTATCTTGCCAGTACCCCTTATATCTCCCTTTTGAAAGTTCAGTAAACAAATCACTTTCTTACATGTTGGCCGTTTACAGTTTATTTTTATCTCATGCTTTATATAGCAGTTAATTTTTTCTTGAGTTTGATTTTTTAAATCTAGTTTTCATTGACTTATGCTCACTTCTCTTTTAGGCCATGCTGGTGTATCTGCAAGCATGATGAAGAAAAGGACGTCCCACAAGTAAGCAATTCTGAAACTTGCTTTTAGATAGCAAGTTGTGGACTCTGGTTATATGGGCGGGATATGAGGTCACCCATGTAGGAGGTCTTGGCTCACAGCAGTCGGCCTCACTGCAAGCTGAGTCGTGGTGTAGATCATATTCCTGTATGTTCCCTGTCCTTTGCCTAGCCTAAGTGTGCCTAGATCGTTCAGCCTTTGAAAGCCTCCAGGCCATGATTTTCTCTCCAGCTTGATGGAGGCTGGACTAATAGAAGTAGCAGTTGTGGTAGGCTCATGGTGAACCTCTCCCACTTCACTTTTGGAAGGGCTGCATGCTCTTGGTCTGCAGGTTCCTCTCTGGGTCTTGGATCTGCTGCTGGATAAGAAAGGAGCTCCTTGCAGACAGAGACCATAGCTTATGCTTGAGGGCCTGGTTAGCATACTGCCTGTCGCACTCATTGCTTTACAACATTTCAAATGAATGAGGAGCTTGTAATTTAGAGAAAGCATATGTATGTTGAAAGATAATAAAATATCCATGTATTTTAGGTGACAAATGTGTTATAAGTACAGAATTCTGTAGGTTCCAGACTATAGAAGCCATTTTTTTTCTCCTCGAAATTTTTTTTTTGCATATAATATAATTATGTCCAAGGAGAAAATTGAAATACTGTCTTAAATAATATCTACCTGTATTGTATTAAATTTAATAGCATTCACAAGTATCCACTAGTACTGGTGACTGCTACTACGCCATGGAAGCTGTTTTAGCAAATTAGTTCTGATATTATGAGTCTTAATCATGGATTGTTAAATATGGAAGAGACCCTTCTTGACCCTAGCTCCTTTTGAGCCCCTCATTATAGCAGTTATTTCCAAATTATTTTTATTGAAAGGCTTATGCCCCTTGGTCACTGCACGGTAGTGGCTGAAGAATGTGAGAAGGCTCTGGGCTATTGAAGAAGGTCTGCATGAAAAATAGCGCCTTTCAGTAATTGTTGATGATTAAAGCAAACCTGTGTCCATTTAAATGAATACATGAATATGTAATGTAAATGTCTATGATATTCAGTTCAAGAAATGACCTGGAAAGTAAAAATGTGAAGGTAAGTATGCTCTTGTGTCCCTGAGGTTTGATAAAGTACTTCTCAAATTTCATTTCATTTCCCATCACCCTCATGACTCTGCCATATCCAGTGATGTGATAACCATTTCTTGGCACAAATAGGAGATGATAAAAACAAATTACACATTAACTTTGCAAGACCAGAACAGTTCATGCAAAATAGATTTTGCCACTTAGGTTAAAATAAATGGCTTTGAGGATGTAACGTACATTTTGTTTTATCTATTTTTACAAATTTCCAGATAGGATTTTATGCATTCATTGTTCTGAGCTCTTGGGCCTGTTTAATACATTTCGTGTGAGAGAGAGTTCATGTGCTTCATTCTAAGCTATATTGTTCTTTAACTGATGGCTTTGAGGTACTAGTTACTTTTTTCCCCTAAAACGCAAGGAATAAATACATGCCTGTTAAGTTTTTGCAGTTCATATGTGTACCAGCTACAAGGATCGTCCATTCTATGATGTGAGGAACTCAATCTATTGCTTTAACAGGAGGTGTGCTTGTCTCACATACAGACAAGGAACCCTTGAACATGTTACTACATAGCAAAAGGGAGAAGTTGAAATGAAAGTAAAAGTACCAGTCATTTTTCTATTTTTTTCTAATCTCATTACAAATATGAAGGTGGGTAGAGCAGGAAAAAAGACTGAAACAAAGGTTTCTGCATTTCACCAATGGCGGCTCTTGAATACTTGCCTTCAGAGGGTTAGTCAGAGTAGTGCTGCTGGAGAAGCCCCTGTCCAAGAGCTGACTTTATAGTGGGAGCCAGATGGGCTTAATGGTGAGCTCAGCAGATTCCTTCATTTGCCTGGAGCTCAGTTTACTCATGGTTCAGATCGTTGGTGTTGGACATAGAACCATGGAGTTTTCAGCCTTCAACATAGAATTCTTTCTACAAATAACAGTCATAGAAAAGCAGAGATAGAGCCTCACTCTTCCCTTGCTGCCATACTGTGGCTGTACCTGTGGTAGTCTCTCGCTGCCCATGTTAGCACAGAGGGACTGAGCAGTAATTTCGCAATCAGATGCCTCTGCTTGCTTGC